ACGACGACGAGACGTCCGTAGGAGTCTTTTNTTTTTTTTTTTTTTTCTTTTTTGACAGCGGGCGAAAATCAATGCGCGCGTGGATGTCATCCAGAGAATTAACTCGGTGTGGCCTTACTGAAAATGAAATGTTCTCTATAAGCACTTATCACATGTATTAATTCAAGGTAACGACATTACGTCAACGACTGTCGGCGTCTTTTTGTACTGTCTCTAAATTGTAATCTCACTAAATCCTGCCATACAGCATGATAATTGGGAAGCACATCAACCAATTTGGGGAGCTGGTACTGCAATATATACTACGTTCTTAAAGGATCATATGTTTAAAGGATGGTCTTGAAGTGCCTAACGATGGATACATATGAAAAGGCAAAACGAAAGAGAATGTTACAAATAGAATTTCAAGCAAGAGTAGATGGTGACTGCGATCACGATAAATTTTATCCATTCCGCATATAGCCACCACGGCTTGCAATGTACTTTGAGGCAAAAGCGACACCTGGCGGTAGCCTCCGCCATTGCCATTCGAGAAAATGTGTGAGTGTGTGTGTATGTGTGTGTGTATGTGTGTGTGTGTGTGTGTGTGTGTGTGTGTGTGTGTGAGTGAGTGATTGTGTTTGTGGTGTGTGTGTGTGTGTGTGTGTGTGTGTGTGTGTGTGTGTGTGTGTGTGTGTGTGTGTGCATGCGTGCGTGTGTGCGCGTGCGTGCGTGTGTGCATACATGCATGTGAAAACAACTTAAGATATTATTTACTTATCGTTTTTTCTAGGTCTGCAACACATTGCAGGATTTTTCTTTTTTAATTATAGTTATCAATTTTCTCTAAAACTAGATGTGTGCCGTACGACACTGAATACCAAGGGCCCGACACATCCAGTCGTCGTACGGTCGTCTTTCTGATCTCCAACTGGGGACGTCCCAAGATCGTACAACAATTGCACGATGAATGTGTCGGGCCCTTAGTATTCCGTGACGGAGTATCGTACGGCACACATGTAGTTTTAGACAATGAATTGATAACCTAATAATAAGTTTTTTTTTTAATCTACGATGTGTTACAGACCTAGAAAAACTGATAGATGAGGAGTAAATGATTTATTAAGTTGTTATCACATGTGTTGTACAGGATTCAGCTGTCTTGTTGCCAAAAACGCTGTCTTTTATACCCTTTTCGACGGTTGTTTTTTTTTTTGTTTTTTTTTTGCACAGTCAGTGCTTGAAAATTCTATCACATCAAAAGTACCTAATACCAGCCCAGAAGAGAACAAGAAATAGCCATGCCTTCAAGTACCAGAGTTATCAACCAAGGATTGAGGTGTTCAAGAATTCATTCTTTCCTAGAACTATCGCAGAGTGGAGCTCACTGCCAAGTACAGTAGGGGCATTGTCATTAGATAGCTTTAAACAATGTCTAGAGTTAGACGTTCAAGGGTTAGGTGCAACAAGTCGTTCGGTGTAATATACCCAGCTGCCGCCGCGCCGCGTGCCTGCGAAGCTGGTGTGCTACGCTGAAAGGCGGTTATACCGGCTATACAGATATAGATACAGACAGATACAGAAAATTGTACGTCCCAAGATGAATTATGTGACCGCGCCGTTCACACACACTCCATGAAAGACGCATTGTATCCGATTAATTTTTTACCTAAACGCTAAGTAAACTTGACAAACTACAGACGTTGTCGACCCGTCACTAGGGTGGCATTGGCACGCCGTCGCCTTTATCACACACTTAACAAAGCGTCCAGCAAAAAACAGCCTCCGCTTTTCGTAAATCATTGATAACAGAAACACGTTCATAAGTCTGACCGTGATTGTTATCTCCTGCAAACACGACGTAAATTGTTTTCTGACTATAGCTATCTGACAGGGGGGCGTTTGAGTCAGCGAGTTAAGTCCGGACATTGAACCGGTCTCAAGTACTTAGGCCACAGCAAGTAATTTTTATGGATGACATCACCGCGCGCATTAATTGTCGACTGATTTTGGCAAAAAAAACAAGAAATTTTGTTGCCTTCTGACAGTGGTCAACATGCCGAAAATGGGCAAAGATGTCTGTTGCCATGCCGAAAGGTGGATGGCAGATAACTATGAAGAGAGGAGACAAGAAAAGGCTCTGATTTAATGTTTTGTTTCTTACTTTGATGCAGTGATATGTGATGTTGGCTGTGTATATTTGAGGTTCCCACTGAATCAAAACCATTTGTACAATGATTGAGTCAAAATTTTAAAATGTAGGAACCTTGTTTTTTTCTGCCGGCCTTGTCTTTTTTTTCGCCCGCTCGCATTAGGTTTGGAGTCTGCGGAGGATGTCATCCATAAAATTTACTTGCTGTGGCCTTAGAAACAGTTTACCTAGCTTGCAAAGGGAGATGGTTATTCTTGGGTAACAACAAGAAATTTCAAACTATAATAGATACAACTTTTCTGAGGAAAAACGTTGCTACAAACAGCTCTGATAAAAGTAAAATTGGTATTTTAAAGGAAACAATGTATACGTACTCAAATATATGCATATTTTTATACCTAACGACTGGAGAAGTGGTTGGTACACAGGTTAAAGGTTAATAGTGCGGGGGCTTCAGGTATAAAAGGAGAGCGCAGCTAGACTGCCCCCTCTCTCTACGCTAACTGCAGACGACAGACGTCCTCCCTACGATCGAAGCCGCCGGTTCACACTACTTGTTCCCGCCAAAATGTCCATCACAGATATCAACGGATCATGGAAGGTCAGCGGCCATGAGAATTTCGAAGCCTTTCTGACGGAAGCAGGTATGAACATTTTTTTTCCAAAAAATTTCCGAAAAATTCGTCCAAAAAATTTCCGAATAATTTTTTCAAAAAATTTCAGAGCAATTTTTTCAAAAGAAAAAATCCGAATAATTTTTTCCAAAAAATTTCCGAAATGTGTTCAATGTCAAGTGTGTCGTGACATTGCACTTGATCGCAAGTACATCGACCGATCGAGTCTGACACAAGCAGATGTATCATTATAGTCCTTTAAAATCCATCTGTCTGTCAGAGAATAGCTTTATATGCCTGGCATAACCAAAAGTCAAAGACCTCTCCAAGGAGAGGTTTGGCTTATTTCAGGCTTTTTTTATCCGTCTTTTTTGGCACTTTTTTAGGTCAACCCAAAAACCAGTGCAAGAACGAAAGGCGGAAAAAGAAAAGCCTATAAACACGCCAAAAACAAGCCCAACCCCAAACCTCTGCTTGCATATTTTGGAGATCGGTAGGAGAAATGGCGAGTTATCTGTCTGTCTGGGTAATTTCTACTCTTTCCAGCTGCTTGCGAAGCCTGGTAGGGTATACTGGTAACAGGGGTTCCAGAGTATACAGTGCAATTTTACGGAATACAGTGCAATTTTGCCGAATACAGTGCAATTTTACGGAATACAGTGCAATCGTATTAGTATGCAGTGCAATTTTAATAGTAAAATTGCACTGTATTCCGTAAAATTGCACTGTATTCCGTAAAATTGCACTGTATTCCGTAAAATTTTACCGTATTCCGTAAAATTGCACTGTATTCCGTAAAATTGCACTGTATTCCGTAAAATTGCACTGTATTCCGTAAAATTGCACTGTATACTGTATACCTGGGTAACTACGAGTAAGAAAAGTGTGTGTTCACAAACTGACATACTATTATCATGTGATTATATACAATACAAGTTACTTGCATATCCATACAAATTAACTGTTGTTACGGTAGTTATTTACAACCAAACAACCAAACCCTGATAAAATGACGCCGCCGGTGGCGTCAGTCGAGTGCCGACACTCCAGAAATGATCGGTAGCGTTCAGGGGACTTGTACGAAATGACCTAAAGGTCAAGCTCTGTCAACAGAAACGGTTTTATCGTGATGTAAACGTTGGCCCGCCCACTAGTGGAGGTGTGGCAGGATTTCAAAGGTCTGCAAGGACGTGTCGTGTAGGTCATATGTGGGTCATATTGAAAGTCAAGGTCAACGTACTTTCCGTAATTTTAGCCTGATTTTGGAGAGAAAAAAAGAAATTCGGTTGCCTTCTGACAGTGGTCAACATGCCGAAAATGGGCAAAGATGTCTGTAGCCATTCAAATTCAAAGAGAGGAGACAAGAAAAGGCTCTGATTTGATGTTTTGTTTCTTACTTTGATGCAGTGATATATATGTGATGCTGGCTATGTGAATGTGATGTTCCCACTGAATCAAGACCATTTGTACAATGATTGAGTCAAATTTTTTAAAATGTAGGAACCTTGTTTTTTCGGCCCGCCTTGTTTTTTTCGCCCGCTCGCAATAGATTTGGAGTCTTTGGAGGATGTCATCCATAAAATTTACTTGCTGTGGCCTAACTATGGTGACCAAAAAAAGTATAACACACACACCACTCGGTGATTCTCACAGGAATCCCACAGGAGCACTGGGAACACATGAAGACCGGCAGCGCCAAGTACACGGTCACCCAGGACGGCGACTCCGTCACCCTGGTGGAGGCGGACACGGACGGCAAACACACCGCCACTAACACCTTCAAACTCGGTCAGGAGTTCGACAAGAAGGGTATCGACGGGAAAACCCGCAAGGTACTATCATGAAAGTTCATCTGTGTTGGTAGTTACATGTTTAAAGTCAAAACTTTTGTTCCAACACAAAAAATTCTCTCACCTAGAGCTTTTGACCAGTCACTCTGGTCTTCCTCAGTAGACTGACCCAGTGAAGCTTGTCACGTGGCTTCTTTGAAAAATTGGAGTGTGACGTCAACACTGGGTCAAAGGTATCTGGTAGACGATGTCGGCCCCGTCGCGGTTCAAGGTAGGATTTTAGACACTGAACAAGACTATTTCTTGAGAGAGGTGAAGGAAGCCATATACATCAGGGCCCATCACCCTACTTTGAACCTCGACGGGGGCCGACATCGTCTACCAGATACCTTTGACCCAGTGTTGACGTCACACTTCAAAGAAGCCACGTGACAAGCTTTATTGGGTCAGTCTACTGAGGAAGACCAGAGTGACTGGTCGAAAGCTCTAGGGGAGAGAACTTTTTTGTGTTGGACCAAAAGTTTTAACTTTAAACATGTACTACTAAGTAGTACTAGTATATACGGGGTTAGCCTGGGTAACAGACTCTTGCCAGGGCCAGTATTAGCAGTGGTAGAAATACCCATCTGCAGTCTGCATTTTGCAGAGACATTTTCAACGTTGCAGAGGAAAAATTAAGCAACCTGCAATTTTAATTTTGCAGACTGAAAAATCAGTCAAGGGATCAATTGTGTGCTTTTGTGTTTATTACTTACTCTATAATATACATTCAAGTAATTTTGCTCGTATTTTTCAAACTGCATGTAAAATGTGCAGTATGCAATTTTGTATATGTCATGGGTTTAGATCTAGACTATTTGCAGAAACTATTTCCGAATTGCAGAAAAAAAATTACCAGGTCGATGGGAATCATATGACAATTATTATGTTATTATATACAATTATTATATAATTATTATTATTAATTATTATTATTATTATTATACAATTATTATAACGTAAGTGAAAAGTCTCTAAATACGGAGCGATTTTACTAGCTAGAAAACCTGTTGAAAATCATAGCAAGGTTTGCATTTGGCACTCGTTGTGTTTATATGTTTATTTATTTATTTTTGTTTTTATTGACTGTAGTTCTCTTTTGTACTTATTGTTCTCCAGGCCACCATCACGTTTTCTGGCGGTGTGCTGACTATCACTGTTCCGGACATGGGCAACGGCAAGAAGGGAGTCTTCACCAAACAGCCAGCAGGAGACTCCATGACAGAGGTACACCACCTTCAGGAGACATAAAATAGACAAAAAAAAAACACAAACACAGCCATACTATATAGCAAATTCATCTTCAGACTAGAAAAGTAACATTTGCAAAGCAAATGCATAATGTTTACCTTCGCATGTGCTCTGCTATGTTAATTCTTACTCAAACACATTCACATATATGGTGACAGGAGTATAAATCCCTCCTACTATAAAGTTGCAACATTTTGTAATCCAACACCAGTTACCATGGTGACAGACAAATCAGGTCATTGGCCAGGTCAGAGGTGAGTGTTTGGAGAAGAAGATGAAACTGAGCAAAACAATATGTTTTTCTTCTGTAAACATAAATATCAAACAAGAAATTAAGCTATCATCATGGCAATGATTTTATTGCCAACCTTGTTCTATTTACAGTCACTCTCTAACATTGTTTATTGTTAAAATGTTGTGCTTGGTTTGTTTTTTCAGACCTTCTCCATGGGTTCTGTGAGCGGAAAGTTGATGTACAAGAAGGTGTAAGGCTGTCGACTGCCTGTTTTGTTTCTACCCCGGAATAACAACACACTGCAAAGCTGCTCAACGCTGCCTATCAATCAATAAAAAACACAACAGAGTTAGCTTGGATATTCTATTTCCACTTGGCAACTGGAATAGCTAGGTTTCCTAACCAAGGTGTTATGATTCATTTTAGGAACAGATATTTTAGAGGAAATTGACTGAATTGACTTTATTCAATACATGACGTCGCCTGCTTTGAAGTAGTTAAAGTTGCTTGAAGCATTTGAATAAAAAGACCAACTTTGGAAGTTACTTTGTACTCAGTCTTTTTCTTATGGCTTGTTCTAATAACACCACGCACACGCACTAGACAAATACATTGTAGATGGTATATGGCACAGTGTGTGTGTGTGCGTGTGTGTGTGTGTGCGCGCGTGTGTGTGTGTGCGCGTGCGTGCGTGCGTGCGTGCGTGTACATATGTGTACTTGTGCTTGCGGTCCGGAACCAATAGCTTATCACCAAGGTAGTAGAAAACAATCTGTATTGGAACAACAAAAGTATGGCGACTTTTCCGAGGTCTGCTGTAACTAAACACAAACAGGTGAGTGGATACCTTTAGCTTCGTACAGGTAGATGAATAAATCCGAATAAATAAGAATAAAATGAATTTAATATACTAACGTTAACGTTACTAGTTCTAACGCCTATGATAACACTATGATACTAGTCTAACGTTATATCTACCAATTTCTACACAGTTAGGTTTATATATCTCCATACTCGCCCTAGTCACCTCTGGAGTATTACATCAGACCGCTAGGCGGCGTAGTTGTGTTACTGGTTCTGCCTGTCGGGGTCAAATGAGGTCATATTGACCCAAACGCTGTTGTGAGTGTGCTATCTGCTCTAAAAGGCGTCTCTGGTGCTGTTTTTGGGCCGGGTTGCCTTATTTGTGTCTCTTCTCTGTAAACATAGGTCTTACCGACAGTGTTGCACTCTTTAAAACGACAAGTTTTCCGACGAAAACAAAGCAACGCTACACGGCAAAGTTTGAGTATAAAGAGGGAGGGGGGCGGAACTCAGTGGTACTGGTGCCAGGAATTTTTCCCGTGTTTTTGTCGTGATAATCTGAACCAGGTTAAAAGACGGGACTTCTGTTCTTAAGGAGGAGGGTCAGAGACGTCTTGAGCAAGCACATGTCCCAGACAAGATGACACATAACGAAGACAGGACGCATTGGTTAAAGGAGGGGCTCATTGGTTTAGGAGGTGAGTTCTTGTTGCTAATGTCTAATGAAGATTTTTGCCCACACTGTAATAAATAAGGCTTGGTGGTAGTTTGGTATCTTAGAGTCTATAACATCTGTGTCCATAATATCACCAGGGTCCATAATATCACCACCTTGAGAAATAGTGTGCTTAAAGATATTTTTACTGCGACATACTTTTGGTATGCACTCCTTCACACATCAAATGTACATACCTAGGGTATGTTGCAGTAAAAATATCTTTAAGCACACTGTTTCTCAAGGTGGCGATATTATGGACCCTGCTGATATTATGGACACAGATGTTACATGTATATCACTTACTATAAACGAGATCCAAATAGTTTAATTACTTCTGCTATAGAGTATAACGTCTGTGTCCATAACATCACCAGGGTCCATAATATCACCACCTTAAGAAACAATGTGCTTAAAGATATTTTTACTGCAACATACCCTAGGTATGTACATTTGAGGTGTGCAGGAGTGCATACCAAAAGTATGTTGCAGTAAAAATATCTTTAAGCACACTATTTCTCAAGGTGGTGATATTATGGACCCTGGTGATATTATGGACACAGATGTTAGTGGCAGAGGTGTTTTTCTTTTCTATATGAACAATAGACAAGGCTAGCAGGGCTCAAAATTCATTTTTGGCAATAGGTGCACAGGTGCACCCAACCTTAAAAATTGGGTGCACAAAAAAATTTTGGGTGCACCATATAAGGTAAAATAAGTACAATGTCAGCAAAACTAAACTATGTTTCATTTCTAAAGAAAAGTACTATGACAAAGATTTTCTGATTTTCTGACACTTAGATGTTAAGAGTATGCTACCATACATGTTAAACCTACAAAAATATTTGAATGCACCTACAGAAAAAAATTGGGTGCACTGTGCTCCAAATTTGGGTGCACTAAGGTGCACATGCACCCAGTATTTCAAGCTCGACAAGGGTTATATGGCACTTTACATAATACTAGTAAGATTCGATGTAGATTATCTGGTAATCAGTGTCTTAAAGTGTAATTGTAGTTTAGATTCTATGGAGTAAATGATTTTAATACAAAATGTTCACTCCACCACTGAATTTTTCCCCTGTTGCAGTCGGTGTGCTATACGGCACCACCAGTGTCACAGTGGGCCATCCTCTGGACACCATCAAGACCAAAATGCAGGCACAGGCAGGCTTCGAGAAAGGTGGAGCCTTCAGGACGTTGATAAAGGTTCTACGTACACAAGGCATTGTGGGCCTCTATAGGTAAGGCATAGTAAGAAACAGCCATGCCTTCAAATATCAGAGTTATCAACCAAGAATTGAGGTATTCAAAAACTCGTATTTCCCCAGAACTATCGTAGACTGGAACTCGTTGCCACCAAGCACAGTAGGGGCATCATCACTAGAACGCTTTAAACAAGTCTTGCAATTAAATGTGCAAAGATTGAGCGTAACAAGTCGTTCGGTGTGATATAGCTAGCTGCCGCCGCGCCACGTGCCTGTCTTTTTATTCCAGAGGCTGCATCCCTCCACTCTGGGGCTCGGGGATTTTCAGGTCAACCCAGTTTGCTGTATTTGAGGCCGTGTAAGTAAAAGTATTTAACAAGAAATAACCTCTGTGGAGTATGTAGAGTTGTTGTGAATTTCTTGTTTTATTCATTTAAGGCCACAGCAAGAAATTTTTACGGATGACATCAGTGCGCGCATTGTTTTTTGCCTGATTTCAGAAAAAAAGAATTTTGTTGCCCTTTGACGGTGGTCAACATGCCGAAAATGGGCAAAATAGCATGCCTTGCCATGCTGGAACGTGGATGGCAGATAAACATGAAGAGAGGAGGAAAGACAAGGCTCTGATTTATTGTTTTGATTTTTACTTTGATGCAGTGATGTATTTCATTCCTTTTATGTTCCCACTGAATCAGAACCATTTTTACAACGATTGAAAACTTTTCTTTTTCAAGGTTGTTTCAGTGACAAATGGATGTTGTGATAGTTGGCAGTAAAGTTAGCACAATATAGGTATCATTTCTTGTTTAACAAGGTTTATGATGTCAAACTTTGGAAATATAGGAATCTTGTTTTTTTTTCGCCCTCTCGCATTAGATTTGGAGTCTGCAGACGATGTCATCCATAAAATTTACTTGCTGTGGCCTTATTGTAAATTTCTACCAGATTTTGTGCTTATTCCTTTATCCCTTCCTCATGCAGGAAGACCATGTTGACCTTCAGTTTGACCCTACTTTCTCCCAGCTTGCAGCTGTCAGTCTGCGGTTATAGCATCCCCCCCCCCACTCACTGTGACCTTATCAAAAAGTACTATTGTGTTGTGTTGTGTATACAGATACACTTACATGGACAACAGCTTTGGGAAATATGAACTACCCATGACTGGAGGCCTGCAAGTGTAAGTCAACATGCATTATACTGAAATACAGAGATAAAACGTCCCTATTCAAGGCCACACCAATTTGACTTGTTGGTTCTCAGACTTTTTCAGAAAAAAGCAACAGGGCAAAAAATAAAAATATTTACTAGAAAAGTAACATTTGCAAAGCAAATGCATAATGTTTACCTTCGGATATGGTCTGCTCCGTTAATTCTTACTCAAACACATTCACATACATGTATATGGTGACAGGAGTCTAAATGCCTACAATGAAATTGCCACATTGTGTGTGTGTCACATTGTGTAACCCAACACCAGTTACTATGGTGACAGACGTAAACAAAAGAGGCCATTGGCCAGGTCAGAGGTTAGTGTTTGGAGAAGAAGAAATGGAAATGGAGCAAAAACAATGTTTTCCTTTGGTATTAAAAACAGACTTGGGCATCCTATGATAGCACCCCAAATGCTATGATAGGAGCCATGAAGTCAACATACCAGGCTGGTTTGTAATTCAAACTTTCAGCATTGTCAGATGAAAAAACTGTAACAAGTCTGAAGAGAAGGGACTTCCTTCTAATGTTGGGGCCAGATTATGAGCATGTTGGAGTTGATTCAGAGGCTGAAATGTTTTTGTTGTTGTTATGCAATCAGAAAAAAAATTAAGCGGGAGAATCCATGAACCAACAAATTAAATTGTTGTGGCCCAATAAGAAAAAAATAAGTTCTACCTCTTCATATGGCAAGAAGTTAAGAAAATGCATTTTTAAACATGTAACAGTGACCTGACTGTGTTTGATACAGTACTTGAATGTTTGTTTGTTTATTTGTTTTTCCAGGAGAGTGTGTGTAGCTGGAGCCTGTGGTTCCACAGCAAGGGCAATCATAGAATGTCCTTTGGAGTTAGCCAAGGTGAGATGGTTTTACTCTAGGACTTGCAGTTTAAACAATAATCAGTTATATCCTGTAACTAGAGTTCCACGATCTCATACCTTCGCCAAATGATGTTACCCTTAGGCCTTGACAAATGTTGACGATTAGCATTAATCATGGAAATTAGGCATTCATTTGCATAAACACTACCTGCCAATGTTCTTCTTCTTCACAATTACACATGCCACACGTTTGAATAATCATATCATGGAAGGTAGCAGATTTATAGCATTTCCTCATTAATTATGCTAATTAGCTCCTGATTTGCATAACTATCATTTTCATATGTCAAGCATTAGGCCATGTTGATTTGATTATATGGATGACATCCTCTGGGAACCCCAAAACTGATGCGAGCGTGTGAATAAGAAAAAGTTTTGCCAAAAAAAGGTGCATTCATTATGAAATCTACGTGGTCATGAAGGTTGAAATTCATTTCTTTACATTTTCGTCTTCTTTTGTTTGATTTTGGCATTCTACGACATTGGTATCATTACCTTCGCCAAGAAGGTTATGTTTTCAGTAGCGTTTGTCTGTTTGTTTGTCTGTCTGTTTGTGAACAGCATAACTCAAGAAGCTTAATATGTATTGTCATGAAACTTGGTAGGTGGGTAGGTCTTGATGAGACCTAGAAATGATTAGATTCTGGGCCCCCTGGCGGCTTTTGTTGGTACTGCAGCAGAACTTCCGGTTTTGATATCTCGCGATCTGGACATGCTAGGGTCACGAATTTTGGTTGGTAGATAGCTCTTGAAGTGGGGAAGAAGTGACATGAGTTTGGGCCCCCTAGCGGCTCGTTCTGGAACTGCAGGAGCATTTGTTGAAAAATTTTCGAAGGATGATAACTCGAGAACCGGTTGACGGATTGTCGTGATTTTTGGTATGTGGGTAGCTGAAGTGATGCTTGACATAATCAAATGACAGTTATGCAAATCAGGAGCTAATTTGCATAATTAATGAGGAAATTCTATACATCTGCTTTGTTCGATAATAGGACCATGAAACACTTGTGACATGTAATTGAGAATTAAAAAAAACATCTGAGGATATAGATTATGTAAATGAAGACCTAATTTGCATAATTAATGGGAAATTTTTATAATTTCATAGTTGTAACTGCTGAGTATTTTTATACTTGTCACATTTGGAAGGTATGTGAAGGCGAACATCAATAAACATAATTTATTCAAATCATGACCTCATTTGCATAATTTATGAGGAAGTGCTCATTGGGTGGAGAATATGATCAACTGATATAACCCATGCAAATGAGGATCTTATTTGCAAAATCAATTTTCAAAATTGTATAATTCTTCAACCGCAAGGGTTAACATCATTTGGCGAAGGTATGAGATCGTGGAACTCTTGTTTTTAAATATTCTTTTTGAAACTTACGGTATATATTTGCTCATTTTACAATTTGATTTACAGTATGGTTGAAAACCTTTTTTTTTTTTGGAAACGGCCGAAAATTTTATGCGGGCGCGGATATTGATGTCATCCATATAATCAAATTAACATGGCTTAAGTAGATAAACTTAAGGTAGTCCCAAAGGGGAGTTGGTTCTTAGTGTACTGTCTAGGGATGGTATTGGGGAAGGCAGAGCCTGTGCTTCTCCTTCCACTACCTTTTACCTCCCCATCCAAAGTCAGGTAGTGACTCATTTTACACCTGGGTGGAGTGAGGAAAGACAGTTGTGTTTCCCATTGACACACATTCGATGATATAACAGGATTTGAACCAATCAGAGCAGCCATATAATCAGGGTTGGTCCCATTGCCCAGGGCAAGTAAAAGTACTATTCGGGCAAGTGAATATCACCCTGTACTTGCCAAATTTTTTGGATGTGGCATTATGCACCAGTATTTGGAGCAAATAGTGCATTCCCATATCTTATTGATGTCAGTCATTGTTGTCAGAATCATTTGCAAGTCTCAAACCTCTTTATTTTGGTAAATACTGGTCATGCATAGAACAATTTAAAGGGCTTTTTCACTGAAAAATTTTCCTTGTGGTTAAAATGAATAGAAATGTTTGGTATTTTGCATTGGGCAAGTGAAAAGTTGGTTCGGGCAAGTAGAAATTACCACGTGCTTGCCTGGATTTTTGAAAACTTGTCCAACCCTATGATACATCAGTACAAGAAACAGCTTTTTTTACTCAGTATTTTCCTGATTCCCTCACTTTAACTTGTTCCACAGATAAGAAGACAGACGGGACAGTCATGGCAGTTCTCCGGTATTTACAAGGTGAGTTTCTTTTAAAAGGTGTTGCTCCAGACATTTCCATTTTAGTAAAGGTGCAATAGCTCAATTGGTAGAGTGCTTGTTTGGAACCAGGAGGTCGTGAGTTCAAACCCCGGCCGGGTCATACCAAAGACTTTAAAAATGGTACACACTTCTTTCTCTGCTTAGTACTCAGCACATATGAGAAAGAGTGTGGGAAGGTCAAACACACAGCACTACCAGCGGACCAGCCCCCTGCTGTAGTGCATTGCCTAACTGTGTGTCGCCCAAGGGCTACAGAAATGGATATGGGCACCACCCCTATGCTCTGCAATAGAGTGGAACAGGACCTTTTTTTTAGTGTATGACAACATTCTGCTTTCTGTATAGTAAATTGAAACATTTTGAAACCAATAATAAATGTATATGCCTTTGCTACCAGCAAGGCTGTTATAGGGGTAGATAGTGATGCATACCGGTTCACTGGACTTGGATCCGGACTTGTAAGAATGTTTAGGTTCAAGTCCAAAAAAACCTAAAAGTCAAGAACCGAGTCCTGACTTATTACCATAAAAGACCATTTCACATCCCCATTTTCTTCCAAACCACCTTAAACCTTCCGTAGATTGCAAAATCTTTGCTGCAAAATGAAGAAAACATTGGCATCAGGCATCGTCAAGTACCGGCCTCCATTATTATATTTTATGTGGCCAAAGTTTCACCCAGACAACATTGCAAGGTTGCCAACATGTACATGCAATTTTGTATATGCCATGGGTTTAGGTCCAGACTTACAAGTCCGGAACTGAACCTAAACCTCTGGACTTGAATCCGGACCTGAACCTAAAATTGGGTTTAGTTATGCATCACTAGGGGTAGACCTCCTTGCTACCAGAAATGGTTGCAGTTTTTAAGATGGGACATAAAGTGTGGTACACTGTTCATTTGTACGTGTCAGAAAAAGCATGGAGCATTAACCTAGTGCAGTGGAACTGTAAATACTATACATGTACAATGTAACATCATTAAAATTAAAACTTTTGGTCCAACACAAAAAATTCTCTAACCTAGAGCTTTCGATCAGTGTTGACGTCACACTTCAAAGAAGCCACATGACAAGCTTCACTGGGTCAGTCTACTGAGGAAGACCAGAGTGAAAGCTCTAGGGTGAGAATTTTTTTTGTGTAACAGTTGGACCAAAAGTTTTACCTTTAAACATATACATGTACATGTAAATACTGTATTGTGCTGTATTGAACCTGTATAGATATTGTACATGTAGCATTTGTATTGCTAAAACTGGTATGATGACTTTCACATTCAAGTTTATTTTTGCCTACTGTTTTGCTTTTTGTGAAGGGTTTTGGAGTGACGTGGTGCCGTACGATGGGACTGATGTGTACATACTTTATCCTGGTGGACAGCACACGCAGACACTTCCCCGATGTCTTTAAGAGACCGCTGCTAGGGCCTTTCCTCACGTCAGGAGTCGCAGCAACATATCCTTCTGTTTACACCAAGGACATTAGATAGTGTCCATATTTACACAGATTCAAACAATGCAGCAAAACTAGTCTTACTACCCTCTGTAAATTTGTATATTTTTAAGTGGATTTAATTTTGTGGTAGGTTGTGGAATGTTTTAAGTGTGTGCACACCCTCAAGTCTAGCGACCCTCCCTGACATGGAATAATTTGGACTGAAAATAATTTATAACTGTATGAGACGAAAGGATATCTCTTCAGCTACAAGACCAGCTGAGTTTGGTTTCTTCAACCTCTTTAATTTTGGTAAAATCAACAGAAAAAAACATTGTGTAGGATAATCTCATAGAAAAAAAATTTTCGGGCAGAAATGACTGATAATGGCAGGAAGACCCAAACCTTGACTATACCCATGTAAATTATGAAGAAAGTCCTAGTACTGTAATTAACCGTCCACGGGGCAAGGGGTTGCAATTCAACTCTGCGGAAGGCGCAGAGCGATATCTAGGTCAAACGGGCAGATTAAAATTGGCGTGCAAGGATACCACGAAGTAAGGCTCAGTGCGAAAAGAAATTTTCACCCCAAAATCACCATTTCTTACACTCTTCGGCCATGTTAATGTTGAATGATATTTCGTGGCAGTTTATGAGAAATGTCACTTCAAACTTGGACCCTTAAAACCCTTTAGTCACTTCTGTACCGCACACTGCCACGGACCCCGGTCGCGGAAGAACTGGGGTGTGCACCGTTAAGTATCTTGAGTTCATGGTATTGAGAGGCACTGCGGAAACTAAAAATTAAAGTCAAATTTTATCAGCCTAGCTATGTGCTTTGCATGTTATATTTGTACATTTATACCTTCTTTGGCTCATTGTGTACATACTTTTCTGGCTTCTGGCATAACGTGATGTTAAATTTTTGTAAACATAATGACAGATGTTTTGTGTAAATATCTGTTGACATAATGCAAAATTAATTCATCTCAGTTTCGATCATGGTGATTTTCCTTGACTCTTCTCACGTTGGCTTGGTGGATTGTGTGGCCGCTAGAAAACATGAAGTCTCAAGTGCAGGGCAACTATGGCAAGTAAGTGGGCAAACATTTTATATCATACCCGGGCCGCGATAACGTTCAATAACGGGTTCCAGACCGGGCCGTACTTTACGGTACGGCCCGGTCCGGAACCCGTTATCGAACGCTTCCATGGCTTCCATAAAACGATTCGAACGTGTTTCGCCCTACCCGCTTGTGCCCCTTTCGAAAATTCGAATACAGAATCCGGACGTTGGAATTGAGGTTGTTGCATTTTAGGGTTTAGTGGCACCAACATTTGGCTCATCTTGCATTGAAAGGCGTGTTTTCTTGGGTGGGTATGACATGATTAAAATACAACACGGTGTATTCCGCATCGCCCTCGGTCCCGGCCCTCCCGCGAGTCGGATCGCCCTCCGGCCGATACCCCGTGTTGTATTCTATATATACACCATGACCTAAACCATATAATATCATATACACATGATGAGCTGTCAAAACAGGGATATAAATTAATGCCACTTATAAAGTTTACAACTTATAAATAGAATTCATTGCCTCCATGAAAAATGGAGGCCTGGTATTGTTTTTGGTGTGTGTTTCCGCACATTTGTAGTCAGCATATCTTCGGAACGCCTTTATAGATTGTGATAATATTTGGTATGTTGGTAGGTCGTAGGGAGGCAAAAGTCAAGGTCAAATCTGGGCCTCCTGGTGGATGACCTTGGTACTGCAGCAGAACTTCCAGTTTTTGTATCTTTTGACAAGTTTTGTCCTGAACATGCTATGGTCTTGGATTTTTGGTGACAGATAGCTTTTCCTGTCAGGAATAAGTGGTATCAGTTTTGTCCCCCTAGCAAAAAAACTATTTACACAAACTCTACCAGGGGTCGAAATACCCCTCTGTGTGCAACTTGGTGCAAGTAAATTCGGTGTCGTGCAACTAATTTTTTGCTGGTGTGCACCGGTGCAAGTTTGCTTTATCCGCTGTTACATGTACAACCTGTAGAAATACCTAATAAAGAACTGGAAAGGGAACAGATTTAATCTGTTTAATAGAATCCATGAAGTTTTTCTTCATTTTTTGTAATTAATAGAAGGTTACTATCTACGTTGCTTTAGTAGGTTAGTAGTGTAAGCAAATATTGGATGCTATTAAAGTTACTACATGTACTTTTTGTGTACCTATTATTTTTGGGAGGTACAACTATTTTTCTTCTATTGCAAGTTTTTTTTTTTATCTGCACCAGTGCAAGTTGGCCCCAAAATCTATTTCGACCCCTGTCGACTACATATTTCATGGAGGTATGAAATCTCAGAATTCTGTTTTTGTTTATTTTCCAGGGAAATGTCCACGTGGCAGAGGATAAAGTTTAACATGAAGGAGCGCGGTGGATTCTGGGGTCTGTACCGAGGTCTGGGCCCTGGGACTGCCCGCAGTTTCCTCGCTAACGGTACCAGTATGATTGTCATGGTGAACGCACAGAAGAAAGTGTCAGAGTGGGGGCTGAGGGGCTGATTTTATATAAGGCCACACCAAGTAAATTTTATGGATGACGTCCGCGCGCGCATTGATTTTGGCCTCTTCCTAGAAAAAGAACAAGAAATTTCGCTTCCTGTAACTATGACCAAAGAGCCAGGACAGTGCCGCAAATCGTCGGATTGACGTGAAACCCGTAACGCGAAGTGTGTATTGACAGGACCATCCTGTCAATGACAAAATTTTTCACTGTCCACTGTTCCACCTGATTTATTGCTTTTTACACTGTGCCACCTCATTCAATTTGTGTCCTAACATTTGTCGTCTCTTAGTATATTTCTAATCTAGGCATCTTGTTTTTAGGGCCCTTCTTGTTTTTTTTTCGCCCTCTCGCATTAGATTTAGGGTCTCCAAAGGACGTCATAAAATTTACTTGGTGTGGCCTAAGCATTATCAGTCTAAAGGATTTCAAGTGATTGATTGTTCTTATATGTTGGTGGAGGTTAGACATCCAGGTAATGAGATACACAAGGAAATTGTTACTCAAACAACTGGGTAGATTGAAAACCTATCCAGTTGCTCGAGTTACAATTTCCTTGTGTATCAACTTGTATAAGGCCACACCAGTTTAATTTCTTGGTTAACGGATTCGCCCGCTTCCTTTTTTTCTGATTTGCAAATAAAAATAAAAATTCAGAATCAACTGCAAAATGCTCATATTTTGCCCTGAACAGTTGAAAACAGTCCTTTTCTTCCTAGTTGTTATAGTTATTCCATCTTTCAATGCAATGGTATCATTAAAAGTTCAAAATTCATTGTTTAAATTTTGAAGCAGCCTGGTGTGTTGACTTCATGGCTCCTATCGTACCATTTTGGCGCATCATAGGATGCCTAGGCCTGTTTTTTTTTTTTTTTTCCGCCCGCTCCATTATTTTTCTAGAAAAATCCGTTAACCAAGAAATTAAATTGGTGTGGCCTAATCAAGGACTTTTTTTCAAGAAGACTTGGATGTCTGAAGTGTCCATACTGGATACACTGTATGTTTAGTATCATAGTACATACCAGAATTATGAAAATTGGTGTTAACTTTGACTCTGTAAGACCTCCAAAATTTAATGTAGCAAATTATGCCTTGCATCAAGTTTAGATTTTCCAGGCATTGCCACATGTAATGTGGCTTTAAAGAACAAAGCAATTTTATCACGGATCAAGGACATATTGGATCAGTATACCAAACAATACTATAGAATTTTGAGTTGGTCCTTGGAATTATGAATCTGGATTGCCAGCAATTTTTATAGTACTTCTTGAATAGAAGTCAAACCTAGGCCAATTCTTCTAACATCCGTGTCCATAATATCACCAGGGTCCATAATATCACCACCTTGAGAAACAGTGTGCTTTAAGATATTTTTACTGCAACATACTTTTGGTATGCACTCCTGCACACCTCAAATGTACATACCTAGGGTATGTTGCAGTAAAAATATCTTTAAGCACACTTTTTCTCAAGGTGGCGATATTATGGACTATGGTGATATTATGGACACGGATGTTATATGATATCTTAAAATAAACTACAATTTGATAAAGTATGGCAACTTGTTTTTACAGATTAAAGTCATTGAAATGGATGACTTTAAAAGTCTTTTATTTCCTCTGTACAATAGTATATAAATTGTAGCCTTTCATTATGATATATTTAGTGTATCATATATTATGTATTATATATCAATTTATGATATTGTTGTTAAGATGAACAGACTACATTAAATGTTAATAACATTTGAAACATGTGGTCTTGAAATGTATAACTTTATTTTAATGTCAATCATGTTCACAATTCTTTTCCAAATTTGTAGTTTGTTAATAGATTTCTTAGATTTAACTTGGTGTTTCAATACTTAGGCCACACCAATTTAATTTGTTGGTTCTCGGATTCGCCTCTTCGTTTTTTTCTGATTTGCAAGAAAAAAAAAATTTGATTCTGGTCCTGAATCAACTGAAAAATGCTCATGTTTTGCCCCCCAACAGTTGAGGAAAGTCCTTTTCTTCCTAGTTGTTACAGTTTTCCCATCTATCATTGCAATGGTTTGATTAAAAGTTCAAAATTCAATGTTTAAATTTTAACCCAGCCTTTTGTGTTGACTTCATGGCTCATTTTGTAGCATTTAAGCCTATAATAGGATGCCTAGACCTGTTTTTATTTTTATTTTTTTTCGCCCTGTCGCTTCATATTTTTTCTGAAAAAATCCGAGAACCAACAAATTAAATTGGTGTGGCCTTAGATATTTTTAGTTATCTTTTTTGTACACTTTGTGTTGTTGGTTAACAGATATAAACAATCGTGATTACAGATTGCACTAAGGTACAGTTTATTCATCAATTCTTGCAAAAACTGTAAAAAAAATAATACTTGCTAAGTCATCGTGCAATGACGAAATAAAAGTATACTGGCGCTTACAGTTAACACACCTATATAGTCATGTCATGATTACTTCCAGTTGATCTTGTGTTGCTAATCTGTAAGTTTGTGTACCCATCCAGAGTAGGTTGACAGCACATGGGTGTGGGAAGATTGACAGGCAGAATGACCAAGTTAAGAGGTCAGTTAAGAGGCCAGGAGCCAGCAGGAATTCATGGTCAACATGGAGAAATTTACGTTGTCAATAATTGCCAGAAGTCTGAAATGTCCCTTTTTTTTCTGTAAGGCCATGTTGATTTGATTATATGGATGACCTCCTCTGGGAACCCCAAAACTGACGCGAGCGTGCGAATAAAAAAAGGTTGACAAAAAAGATTTGCTTTCCTTATGAAATCTATGTGGTTTTGAAGGTTGAACACATGACACAGAGTATGGTATGGCGAATAATCTACTCCACACATTCATTTCTTTACATTTTCATCTTTTTTGTTTGATTTTGGCATTCCAGAACAATGGTGTCGTTTTCCAAGCAAAATTTTTTTTGTGCAACTCACGGTATATATTTGTTCATTTTGCAACTGTTTTGTACGATTTACAGTATGGTTTCAAACTCTTTTGGGGGGAACGGCCAAAAATTCATCCATATAATCAAATCAACATTGCCTTATGAAAGGGGATGACTAGTACTACCTCTCAATGAAGCAGATGTTCATTTTCTCTGCCGGCAGTAATATTGTCTTTGTCACAGCAGGGACAACTCGGGGCTCTCGCTGTTTAACAACAAAGCGCTGAATAATCTGCAGTAAAAGAAGAGATCCATAATGATGTCAAATGATTTTTCCTGCAATTTCAGAAAAAAAATTGTAATGAAGATATATATCAAAGCTTATGCTTTTATCTACCAAGAATATGCTACCAAATAAAATTAGTGACTGATATACACCATACAAAGATTTGCCTCATTTTAAGGTCTTTGTCGAGCATGTTTGGACCACTTTGAACAACAGAAGTTAATAATAAAACTATTGGTGACTCACCTTGGCCAGGAGTACTTGCAAATTTGTTTCTGCCACTCTCCGTCCTGCATGTGAAATAACGAAATCAGCTCATACCTCTGTGAAATACTTACACTTTTTGTAAATTTTTCCTAGTTTCCTTCTTTATTGCGAATGTCTCACTCTGTCTGAGAAAGCATTTTCCCTCTAGGTGGCTCCCACTCGCATATAGCAAGACACTGAAGATAGGAAATGGGATAGCCTTTTCTGGGACGAAGACAGCGTACGTACATAGAGGCTGGACTCGATCCAGCCTAGTGAGTATGGAGTCTTAAAGAAAAACATTAAACACAAATTTTAAACCTTAAACAACAAACGACCTTATACAATGAGCTTAAACAGACGATGAGCTAGCTTGACAGACAACGAGTTGGCTTAAACAGACGACAAGCTGGCTTAAACAGACGATGAGCTTTCTGAAACAGACAACGAGCTAGTCTCCTTGCTTGTATGTTTAAGCTAGCTCGTCGTCTGTTTCAGCAAGCTCGTTATCTTTTTACGTTAATAGCTCGTCGTCTGTTTAAGCTCGCCGTTGCTGTTTAACATTTTGTAACTATGGTCTTTCGTACAAACTTGCCTATACAGCTGCGAGTTCCAAATCCAAACGGAAGGTAGGCATAGGGGTGGGTCTCCACATAGTCTTCTGAATTCCTGAGCCAACGCTCGGGCCTGAACTGCTCCGGGTCCTTGTACATGTTAGGATCTCGGGCCATGTGGTAGATGCTCACCATTACAGTAGTCTGATGAGACAAAACGGACAGGGATGGTCATTGGAACTGTCAGTAATCTGTTGTACGAGCATCACAGAATTGCAGACTATATTCTCGAAATACCTTGCACATATGCCAAACAAAATCTGACTGTCCTTCAAGAAAAGGCTGTCTTTAATTGCCTAAGTCTATGGCATAAAAGTAATATTAACAATGGTGACTAGGCCGTGTCTGTGTGTGTGCGTACGCGTGCGTGCTGTGTGTGCGTACGTGTGCGTGTTTGTGTGTGCACGTGTGTGTGTGTGTGTGTATGCGCGTGTGCGTGCATATGTGTGCATGAGTGAGTGTGTGTGTGCGTATGTGTGTGTGCGCGCGTCTATGTGTGTGTGCGTGCGGGAGGGCATATGTGTTTCAAGTTTTCCCTTGCTTACATATTGAACAGTATTGCAACCATGTTGTATGGTGTAATGTTACCCATTGGGATTCAATCAATTTCGCCTTGCAGCATGTATTTACATGTATCTAAAATACTAAAAATAAAATAAGTTACCTTTGCTGGAATTTCATATCCCCTTAAAACAGTGTCCTGTTGTACCACTCGTGTCATCACAAATGCAACAGGATACAACCTGTATCAATATATATGGCATGTTGATGCATTTGAATATGAGGTCACATCATTTTTAATTGCAGGTCGTGTTCTAAGAAATTGTGGTATACATAAATGTATGAAACGCAAGTCAATTCGAGGTGTGAAAAAGTTTCCAGTTTGGGTGCAAGTTTTTAATCACGGACGCAAAACATATTCCGTATCAATTCGAATCATGGCCATACCGAAACACATTTTGACCATGAACGGGGACTAAATGGATTAACTTGAACAACAGTTTGAAAACAAAGCCTGAGGATCAGGTTTATGCCTCGAAGTCAGTCCACCCATACAGTATGATACAGTATTGGGGGTATAACTCACTTAGTAAGAGCTTCTCGCAACAAGCTCTCTACCTGCACCTTTCCTAGATCCATTGATACTTTCCACAGGTTTGAAATTTCCGATTTCTGTATTGTTTTAACGGTGTTGCTCAATGCAAAGCCAAATGGCTACTTCCAGGCATTGACCTAGGTGATACGACAGACATGAATATGCCAAAAGATGGTGGTGAATTGTGGTTGTTGTTAACGTTGTTTTTTTCATCCGTACATTTTACCTGAGTGTCTCCTTTATGACAGCCTTCATCAGGTGCAGGTCCTTCAGGTGGTCCCAGGTCACGACCTTGCCCTGACCTATGACCTTCGTGACCTCCTGATGTAGCTTGTCCTGCAGGTCAGGTTGGCGGGACAGCTCGTACAGAGTCCACAGGAGAGTGGTGGACGTCTGCAAAGTGTAATATGTGATATATTTGTTTGTTTGTTTGTTTGTTTATTTAGATCTCCATTAGTATGGAAGTCAACTCCATACTATTCTTCCTGGAGTCCGCAGCATACAATGAAATAACAATAATAATGATAATAATTACTTTTAGCAATAATAATAAATAAAACATACAAATCATACTGAAATTATAACAAACTTGAAACAGAATCAATCATAGAGAAAAAAGTGAATTGGAGATCAGAGGTCAAATAATAGAAATAATATGTTTGAAATGAAAGTAAATGAAACTAATAATTGATGTACTTTTCAATAAATACAAAATTGAAGTACAAAAACAGTAAACAAATATTTGAAGTGACATAAATAATAACAAAAAATCAAATGAGTCAATATACACTCAACAAAATATGATTCCTTTCGTACATATGAAAAGTAATCATATATATTTTTTGTATATCACACATTCGTAAATATATCACATATATATTTCGTACATATGAAAAGTAATCATATATATTATAGCAACCTATCGCCGTTTTAAGATTATTTCTATCACAATGCAATATTTTACTTCATTTTTTTTAGATTTTGAAAATAAACTTGTTTCCTTGTGTCGATGAAGGTTAGACATCCAGGTAATACGATACGCCAAAAAGCAGTTACTCAAGCAACTGGATATGATTTTGAAAACGGTCAGACGTTTCAGCTAGTATCCGCTAGCTTTCGTCAGTGACTGAGAGACCAGAGGAGAAATGCAGGTTTATAAGCACAAACTATTGATTTGTATGCAAATAAAGTGAAGACAATTTTTTGGAAGTCTTAATACTCTTTATTGAAATCTTCAGCACATAACGTTGTTTATATATTCGTGTACATCAACACTGTATAGAATAGATTGTGACATCGGCTATTTTTTATAGGAAATAAATCAGAGCAATCGATAAATTAAGTCATATAAAGTGCCCTGACACTAAATCGCTACATGAATGTTTGCCAAGAATTGAACGAAAAATGTTCTTATGAAGTAAGTTTAAACTGTAATTAATTTCCAACACAACAAATTGGACGTCACCCAAATTTTCGACTGTACAACTCCAGTCTTTGTCAAGGAATGAGCAATCCACCGCTTCCGTGACGTCACGCAGATAACTGTCAACAGAGACGGGGGGCGCCACAGACTTTCTGCAACCTATGATCCACTGCTCACGGAGTCACGTGTGTTATCTGCGTGACGTCACAGAAGCGGTGGAATGCTCATTCCTTGACAAAGACTGGAGTTGTAGAGTCGAAAATTTGGGTCCAATTTGTTTGTGTTGAAAATTACAGTTTACACTTGCTTCATAATGATTTCTACCAACATAGATGAACTTTCAGGAAAAATGTTCTTACTGTGTCAATTGCTGCCCCCATCAGTTCTATAGTGTTGGCGTAGATCTCTCCCTTGGTGAGCTTCTCGCTATTTTTGATGATTGACAGAAAGTCAGTGTGTCCGTCATCTTCATCACTCTGGGCTTGTCTCTCCTCGGCTCTACACAGCTGACGGTCAATGACCTTTTCACCTACAGGAAAGACAGACCCTGGCTGTCCATCACAATTAGCAGTTCAACCAATCACAGCATGGCAATTAGCAGAAAATGGGCCATTTTACACAGCATATGTCTCTTCTTGGCAGCCCACTTAGGCCCCATTCCCACTAGGATAAAATTGTCCGCATCAAGCCGAATTGATTCGATTTGATCTGGCTTCAATTCTGGTCTGAGCCATATCGGAACCGGATCGAAGCCGGATCATAGCGAATCAATTCGGCTAATGGGAATGGGGCCTAGTGTGTCCAATAGGCAATACCAATTTCTTTTCTTGGTTCATGTATTACCCTTTTTTTCGGATTTGAAAACAAATTTCTAAAGCCCACTTTTTGTTTGCAATTCAGGATATCAATTTCTGACGTGCGAGTGACGTGCGTAGACACCACTCCTTCCCCACGTTTTCAGAAAAACGTAGCAGACGTGGCCTTCCAATAAAACGTACGGACAATGGGTTGCGACCGACGCTTCACTCACCTATCCGAAAGACAGTGCTCCAGGCTTGTTGGTGTTTCCGCCATGCCCTGGTGTTGAGAAGTTTTTGAATCCGTGCGTCTGGTATCATGACGTCGTTAGTTGTGGTTAAGACGTTGTGCATGCTGGTGATGAAGTCCCGCGCGTCCTGGGGAATGTTATCCCTGAGGAGACCCATCCGCTCGTTAAACAAAACAGCTGAGATGGCTGAAAAATATGAATCAACTCACGCATCAACTCTAAAACCTAATGTTTCTGACTTATAACAACATTCCACACTCTCAAGGCGCCCTCTCTGCGACCTGAAATTGGCCAGAGCGCGATGAGAGCGCCGTGAGCGTCGTCGCTATTTTCTGTCTCGTAAACGGTCGATGCCATTTGAAACGGTCGATGCCATTTAATTTTGCTGAATGGTCAATGTCATATCCGAGCGTCCAAAAACGACTAAAAAGTAATATATACTATAAAAAAACAAAGTTCTAATTGCAAATATAAGGGAGGGTTATGTAGAATTGTAAATATTAGTGAAAAAAAAGCACAAGCTCGGATTCGAACCCGGGTCCAAAAGTGTAACTCCAAAACTCTCATCCTAACTTATACCCTAACCTCTACGCTACGAAACATCACGGTGTGGATGAACCGTGCTGATACACTTAAAGTTAGCCGTCCTGCGATATGGCATCGACCGTTTCCAATGGCATCGACCGTTTACGAGACGGAAAATAGCAGCGTGGTCACCTCGCATCAGCGATAATCTCCAAGCAGATCCCTTCCGGTGGCAAGACAGTATCCATTAGGCAGAGAAGGTTGCGGGGTCTGTCTTTTATGTCCTTATTTTATTTTGATGTGTCAAGTTGGCAGGAGTGGGTTGGTGGGAGCACTTAGACAGTAACCTGTCGTGGGTAGCTTGGCACCTCCTTTTTCTACCCCCTTTCCTTTGTCTATGTCTCAGTAAGGTCAAAAAGTTAAAAAAAGGAAAAAGAAAATAGTTAAGAAACCTCCTGTCTCTCTTGTCTAGTTGTCCCCCTTTTTTGATTTTCTTATACCCAAATTAAAAACGGTAGCGACAAAAAAACGGTCATATGTAAAAAGCTAACGATCATTCCCCCCACTGTTACACCCCCACAACCTCTGCTTGGAGAGTACTCGGCGACTGTTTGGAAGCGGCTCATACCGTTGCCGTGAGAGCGCCAAGGACGGCGATGTAACGATGAGTGCCGTGAGAGCGCCAAGGTCGGCGATGTAACGATGAGTGCCGTGAGAGCGCCAAGGTCGGCGATGTAACGATGAGCGCCGTGAGAGCGCCAAGGACGGCGATGTAACGATGAGCGCCGTGAGAGCGCCAAGGTCGGCGATGTAACGATGAGTGCCGTGAGAGCGCCAAGGTCGGCGATGTGACGATGAGTGCCGTGAGAGCGCCAAGGACGGCGATGTAACGATGAGTGCCGTGAGAGCGCCAAGGTCGGCGATGTAACGATGAGCGCCGTGAGAGCGCCAAGGTCGGCGATGTAACGATGAGTGCCGTGAGAGCGCCAAGGTCGGCGATGTGACGATGAGTGCCGTGAGAGCGCCAAGGACGGCGATGTAACGATGAGCGCCGTGAGAGCGCACAACGGCCTTAACAGTGATTTATATTCCAAACATGGCGACCTTGGCGATCTCTTGGCTCTCTCCGCGCTCCGGTCAATTTTAGGTCGCAGAGAGAACGCGGTGAGAGCGCCGTCAGGTGGAATGGGGGTATAAGCAAAACGTGAAAAGTGAGAAGAAGAAATAAGAAAGAAAGACTTACATTCCAGGGCCCACTTGAAGAGTTCACTTTCCAGGTCTGGTACTTCTGTCCCGTCAGCCCCCGCTCTAACAGACAGGATACGCCGGACCATGTCGGAAGCCACGTCGTCCACTGTCGGCACGAACCTCGCCACGTTCTGCGGCCTGAGCATCGGGCGACTCACCACGGTACGGTTCCTGTGCCATCGTTTGTCATTGCTGAAGAAAAATCCGTATGTGATCATATAATATTTTTTTTATATTCCAAAATCTAATCACAAGACGTGGTAACGGCACACTCAAGTTTTTTCAACTTATATTAACGTGACGCCACCAACACAGGGGACAATACAATACTCCTTTTCACCTGAGCGAAGTGAGGAAAGTCGTGTAAAGTGCCTTTCCCAAGGGCACAAGATCGGTGGCATGTCAGGACTCGAACCCGGGACCTCTAGGTTCCGAGTCGCGCACTCTGCCGCTACGCCACACGACCCCACACATTTTATTTCTCATTCTGGAAGATTTAACTTAAGTGTTTTTGTTTTATTTGTCTATTTTGATTTTTCACAAAGTGAAAGGGAGGGCAAAACAGGTGCATACGCACCTTGACAAGTTGCCTTCCCCCATACAAAAACATATGATACAACATCAAAATTTACATAGTCAATAACAACAATTATAGCAATACACAGAGTAGGTAATCGAAATAGAAGGTTAAGCATAATTCAAATATATCTAATAAGTTGTATAATTTGTGTTGAAACAAGTCTTAGTGTGGTCTAGAAGCAATACAAGAACTACACCCACAAGAAGTGGTCCAAGTACATGGCAGGTCAAGACTGTAATGTGTGTGAAACGTATTGTAGGTGGCCTTGATCACATTAACGCCACTCATTTTATATCTATTGGTGCACCAGCCACATTCACCTTATGTTCGTTATTCATTTTGTATTGTTATTATACTGAATTTTGTATGTTTTATGTTCTCGAGCAAAGGATCACATGAGCGCGTAAGCGCTTGCTATCCAATGCTCATAAATCCATATGATGAATAAAATAAAAATAATATTTATCGTAGCCTGGATGACAGCCTTCCTAAAGATTTTTATTAATTAGTGCGCTGCTTCCCTGGCAAAAAGACACACGCAAACACACGTCGCACAGATGGAATTCTGGCAGAAGTCGGCTATTATAGCCTGGGTACCATCCTACTTGTATGCCGGGGCTCCGGCCACACTCGCTTCCCTAACAAGTAAGGGGAGCGAGTGTAGGAGCCCCGGCATACAAGTAGGATGGTACCCAGGCTAGGCTATTATGCATTCATTGATAGATTTAATTGGAAAAGAATTCAACATGACGACCTTAAGGTAAAAGTATGAGAAATGTAGAAGAGCAGGAAAGGTAGCCTGGGTACCATCAGGATTTTTGCTCCGCAACGCTCGAAAAGTTGCGGAGCGAAAATCCGGATGGTACCCAGACAACAAGAAAGGTAGAAGTATAAGAAAGTGCCCTGTATCTGTATAGCCGGTATAACCGCCTTTCGGCGTAACACACCAGCTTCGCAGGCACGCGGTGCAGCGGCAGCTGGCTATATTACACCGATCGTCTTGTTACACCTAACCCTTGTACATCTAACTCTAGACATTTTTAAAGCTATCTAATGACAATGCCCCTACAGCGAGTTCCTCTCTGCGATAGTTCTAGGAAGGAATGAATTCTTGAACACATCAATCCTTGGTTGATAACTCTGATACTTGAAGGCATGGCTATTTCTTGTTCTCTTCTGGACTGGTATTAGGTACTTAGTAGTTGGGACGTCCACCAGTTTATTAGTCATTTTGTACATCATGCATAGTCTGGACATCTTTCTTCTGTCTTCCAGTGAGGTAGCCTGGGTGCCATCCCCAGTAGTATATTCGCCAGCTCTATAACAGTTACTTATAGAGCTGGCGAATATACTACTGGGGATGGCACCCAGGCTACCAGTGAGGCCCACTGTAGGTTTCTTTTCATTTCCGCGACACTAGCACCTCTTTCATAGTTGTTCATACAGAATCTTGCAGCTTGATTCTGTAGCCTAGGTACCGCCAGGTAGAAGTACAAGAAAGGCAGAAGTATAAGAAAATCGCCCAAACCTGAGTAGGATAGCGGTGTCTTTGCCGGCGTCCTCCCGGTACAGCCGCCACGGTGTCACATCAAGCCGCTCAGGGTACCTCCCCTCCGCTTTAAAGAGTTCACGTACCGCCTCCGGGTCACAGAGATGGACCATGTCAAAACTCCCGATTTTATTCCTACATGGATACATTAGAGTAGCCTGGGTGCCATCCGATTTGTAACGGCTACCCCGAAAAAATCGGATGGCACCCAGGCTAACATTAAAGGCATTCAATGCGATTTCAGGGCAGCAAATAAACTGGAAATATTCTGAATAAGGCAATCTTTGTGATATTGACACATAGCTGCTTCACATTAGCACATTTAAATCAGTATTTTATACTTTGGGCATTTAAAACTGCAGAAACAAGCCCTTTTTTCTGGGTGGAACCCTAAAAATCAGCCCAGGGCCCTTCAAGCCCCAAGATGAGTCCTTTATTTTCTTGGTGGTACCCTAGTAATCAGCCCAGGGCTGTCATCCATCATAACTTTGGGGATTTTTGCTCCATGACAGTTGGAAAACGTTGGAATAGTGTGGTTTCAACTCGGAATGTAGGTAAGTGGCTAGAATAATGGCTTTGAGAAATCGGGTTTCCAAGCCCTAAAAACTGCATTGGAATCCTGAGTTCTGACTGTCCATCAAAATTTGTGTCCATCACAATCAACCAATGAGTGAATGGGAACCTATGTGGTTGTTCTGCTCTACAGAATATCTTGACACATCAGACAAACCCTATACATGTGTAAAGAGTAGTGCGGATACAGTGGAGGCAGTGTGCGTAATTATAACTTTGTGGCTTGTAACTTGAAAAAAACAATCATGAAGGAATTACTTTCATAATTGTACACCGCTGTATGTAACCGTCGATTACATGTACGTCAGTACGGCAGACTACAACCTGAGTGTGTCGACGTCTCATACAGTATAGACGATCCTTTACTGTATGTTCTATTCGGGTAATCAGGTATGAACTTTTTGACCGGCGGGAGCACTGTTCCGTGTACACTCTGCACATGTTGCATTCCAAAACGTGTTGATTCCCAAACATGTTTTGGAATCACGTTTTGGAATACAACAGCTAGGCATTCCTCTTTGTGTTATTCCAAAATATGTTTGGCAATAATTCAACTCGTTTTGGAATGCAGCAGGCTCACCTCCATATAGGACCGTAAGCATTGAAAGCTTCGCCGATCCGTTCGTGTGTTTTTAATCGTCCTTCTTCGGAGAGACCGCCTGTCCACCAGGCCACCAGGACCCTCAGGAATGAAGGCACGCCCCCTAGCGGCTGTGGCAGAGCCGAGAAAGGCTTGACGGCGTCCTGCTGTTGGGTAGAGGCTGCCTCTGGTCCAGATGAAAACTTGTGACTGGGAGTCTGACTTCTCACCGGTCCTAGCGACACAATGGTACAAGTCTTTTTACTTAGGCCACAGCAAGTAAATTTTTATGGATGACATCCTCCACAGACTCCAAATCTATTGTGAGCGGACGAAAAAAATAGGCGGGTCCAAAAAACAAGCTAGGTTCCTACATTTTAAAATTTCGACTCAATCATTGTACAATGGTTTTGATTCAGTGGGAACATCACATATATACAGCCAGCATCACATGCCTTTTCACTGCATGAAAGTAAGAAACAAACATTAGATCAGAGCCTTTTCTTTTCTCCTCTCTTCATAGTTATCTACCATCCACGTTTCAGAATGGCAACAGACATCTTTTGCCTATTTTCGGCATGTTGGCTGTCAGAAGGCAAAAAAATTTCTTCTTTTTTTTTTTAAAAATCAGGCGAAAATTAAAGCGCGCGCTGATGTCATCCATAAAAATTACTTGCTGGGGCCTTATCGTTTCATCATACAGACAATGTGGCAGCGACTGTCGTTCTCGAAGCGGTAGGGCTGATATCGACTGAGAGGCTTTTCATTGACGTCATGATAATTAGGCCACAGCAAGTAATTTTTACGGATGACGCGCGCATTAATTTTCGCCTGACTTTGGGAAAAAACAGAACTTTTGTTCCCCTCTGACAGTGGTCGACATGCCGAAAATGGGGAAAGATGTCTGTTGTCATGACGGAAGGTGGATGCCCGGATGGCAGATAAACATGAAGAGAGGCGACAAAACAAGGCTCTGATTCAATATTTTGTCTTTCAATACATTGATGCAGTTTTGTTTTTCATTCCTTTTATATGTGGTGGTGGCTGTGTATATGCGACATTCTCATTGAATCAAAACCATTTGTACAATGATTGAAATTTTTGATTTTTCAAAGTTGTTTCATCAGTTAGAAATAAAGGTTGTAATAGTTAGCAGTAAAATTATTATTTCATTTTAACAAGGTTAGGATGTCAAAATTTGAAAATGTAGGAATCTTGTTTTTTTCGCCCGCTCGCATCAGATTTGGAGTCTGCGGAGGATGTCATCCATAAAATTTACTTGCTGTGGCCTTAACATACCAATCTAGGCGACCATGTGTTGGCGTACTCTCCAAGCAGAGGTGAGAGGGAGAGAACGTAGGATATTCCGACATGGCTAGCTAAGGGAGGCACGAGAGGGAAATGTGCCTC